AACTCGATCTCTTTGACGGCGCCTCCGAACAGGATCACTGGCGAGCCCTCGCGCGCCACTTCTCGCTGCAACCACCGGCCGCCAACGTCGCCTTCCCGCGTATCACGCACGGGTCGAATCTTCATCACCGTGCGCTCATGCAGCCAACAGCCAGGCGGAAAGGCCTCGAGAGATGAGGACGGGGTCATTAGTGCTTACGAGCCAGCACTGCTGCGCTGGTCCTGGTGCGCCCAGGTGAGCATCAGGTAGGTGCGGCCGCGAGTCGCGCGGAAGTAAATAAAAGCGGGGCCGCGCCGGAGTCTCGAGGCTGGAGTAGGTGTATAGGCTTGCAGGGATTCTTGTTTTTTACAATTTTCGGGCCCGCGATATTCTTGTGCCTCTCTCGAACAGGAGCGGGGGCGGGAGCGGGCAAGGAAAAGCTCGGCCAGTCGCTCTGAGAATGAGCATCGTCGTCGCTCTGAGGATGGCAATCCCGGTAGATTTTTCTTCCAAAAATAATGTCCCTGCGGCGGGCGCTGGCGCCGACGGTGAGGCTAACAGCGTGACCGCGACGCATGGCCGGCCTCGCGGGCGAGCTGCCGCCCGGCGCCGGCGGCTGCCTATCTGCGTGGCGCGAGGCGATGTGTGAGGCTGGCGGGCGTGGCAATGCCTATGACACCAGGTCGCAGGAGAGGCTGCTCCGCACCGCCGGAGAGGCGCTCGAGGAGCCTCTCTCTGTCGACGAGTGCCTCGAGAGGGCGGGCGGCTGGGGCGCCTACCAGCGCTCGCTCATGCTCACCCTCGGCACGTCGACCGCCGCGTGCGCCGTGCACATGCTGCAGCCCATCTTCCTCGCGCCGCTGCTGGACTGGCCGCTCACGCCGGTGCAGCGCGGGCTCGTCTCGTCCGCCTTCTTCGCGGGATACGCCGTCGGCGTCTTCGGCTGGGCGTGGCTCTCCGACCGGCGAGGCCGGAGGCGCGGGAGACAATATGCACACCTCTCCTTCCCGCCCCGCCACGTCCGTGACCGGTCCACGACCCGTCCGCGACCCGTCTGCGGCCAGGCCCGCCATCCTGCTCTCCTTCCTCGTCGGCAACCTCCGAGGCGTCGCCCCCTTTCTTCGCCCCTCCCTTGGACCCCTTCCTCCCCCTACGGTTGCTCTTGCGGCGTCCGCGGTCCCCGGCGCAAAGAACCGCCCTTGGCTCCTCCAAACCCAGGCCACAACAAAGGTGGAACCCCCCCCACTTCCCCCCGGGTAAGGCGCCGAAAAAACCCCCCTCTTTCTGGTTCGGCACCCAAGTTTCCCCCC